TTTTCTCCACAGAATCTGCGCTCGCCGTTGTTTTTAGCTTCAATCTACTGAGGTATTCATTGAGGAGACTGTTAAAAACCCCGTGACAACCCGAAGATTGTTCTTACTTAAATCTAAGAAAAAAATTTGATTTTTCTCGGTCGTAGGTTAGGTTGCTGGGGTTTAGGATCATATTGGATCCCTCACTCGGAGGCCTTGGGTCCATTACGATACCCCTGTATTATTGTACCAAACACTCCTCTCATTCTTTCTTTGCGTTAAAGTACTTCCAGCTCTTTGCAAAGTTCCCGATGTCGCTGATGTTGGCTCCTGCTGCTTTTTCTAGTCCTTCCAAAAAACCTTGCCCTAAAGTTTTAAAGCGTCGGTATTCCAGTACTGGACAGTGGCACAGCAGGTGCTCTATGGATCTTCTTCCTCCTCCGCATTCTCTGCAGTAGTCATCTTTGTAAATCTTCCATCTCACGAGGTTTACCCCCGTGGTTCCAGTGATGACACCTACAATTATGCGTACTAGAGTCTTTTTGCGCTCTAGTAGTTGTTTTGTTTTTTTTTCTATCTACCACTGGCCACAGTCTTCGAGCTGTAGTGCAGTCCTCACGGTCTTGCCATGTCTCTTGCTGCTTGGCTTCGATGGTAGTTTCTTTCTAGTGGTAGCTTCCTTCCATGTGTTGATCGCCACAAGTGGTGGGTCATGCGAGTCTGTCTGCTTCTTGGTTGCCCACCACATTGCTTTGGCCTGGCACCCAGGACAGAGTAGCCCCGCCTTAACCCAGCTAGAACAGTGCTTCTCGGCAGTCCATTACAGTTTTCGATCTCATTGATTGCATAGCGATGCTTCTTAAAGCGCCCAAGCTGTGAGAGTGTATCAGGATATTTTCTATTGGTCTATCAACGACTTTCCATCGTATACAACTGGCGGCTTCCTTTATGGCGTAAACCGGTTTCGGTAAACGTTCTCGGTCGTAATTACGGAGAAACTTCTTTGAGTATCTTAGACCGTTGCAAGATTCCCACTTCAGGTTAGCAATGGATCTTGCAAGTTCTTGAGTTCCGTTTAATTGACTTCCAATTGGAAAACAGAACGGTTCTGGTCCGGTTATTGGAGTATTCGCTCCATTTCTATCTATAAATACTTACATAGTCACAATGCGATACTTTCAAAATTTTAAAGTCAGTAACGTCAACATTAGATATATAGTTTAAAATAATATATTTTAATTTGGAGTCACCTTTTTGGATAATTCTTTGTACAATGACGTGAATAGTGTAAATTAAGTGTTAAGAAAAACTTAATAATTGAAATTATATGGCTAACTATAATCATATGTTTAATGTCATTCGACAAATTACTGTATATTTTAACGCCACCTATACACAAAACTCAGTAAACCATATATACATTTTTTTATCATTAATTTTATTTATTTATTTTATTTTTTGCATAGTACTATATTAACGTTCTCTTTGTTTTCATTTTTCGTTTAATCAAAGATAGCGTTATAATATGGTATATAATTATTATTTTAAGGTTTATTTATTTTTCTTGCATCTCTGTAACGACAAAGCTGTCAATTTGTTTTCTTTTAGCGGTGCACGTGAGGCGACGATCTAGCTGTATGAGTGTGAGTTCGTTAGGGTCTCGAAAATAAATCATCCTAGGCTTTAAGGTCACCTTAGGTTAAGGTCGTTAGTACGGACCTTTGCGTTATCCCTTCTCATGTAAGTTTAGTGCGATCATGGCACGTTCGATTTGATTATACTAACATACTAACAAACATTTTCAATTTTAAAATTGCACATAAAATTACTACATAATTGTAAAATAAAGTAAAGTTATTTTAAGGTAATGAAATCGGTCTAAATCAGAGATATGAAGATAGGGAGAATGCGCATCCAAAAATATTCTTATGCCGTGTTGGCAGCTGGCAGCCATGTTTTGGTCTTCCTACCTTTATATCCTTGGTCTAGCTTCAAACAACTCTAAATTTAGAAATATACAAATAATAATAATATAATGAAAAAAATTGTTTTTATTGGGACCCGTTTTATAAATAAACATTCAAAGAAATTACAGAATTTTTTCATAGGTATGGTTTTAACACAAATGAAAACAGTATGTTTTTGAATAGATTTTTTGCTTTTTAATTTGAGTTACACTGTACCTATTTTGTTCCTTATTATTTTTTGTTATTATGGCAGCATGTAGTTAGTTTACCTTTTTTTAATGCACAAAACACAACTAACCTTAAATTTAAGAAACAAAAATCTTGGATTTTTCTTTTATATTGTAAGTTTAGGGATTATGAGGCAATCATAATTTACCAAAAAGAAAAAATCAAGTTTTTATATACAAGCTTAATCTGTCCAACGACAGCAGCAACGATTTTAACAGACATACTAAAAATGTCAGAAGAAAGTTGTTTTTGAATCAAATTAACAGGCAACTGTCACTGTTAGAATTATATCGTTGGGCAGACTACAAGGTTATATTAAACAGGTTGTTAGCGATGTGTTAGTTGGTGCGATTATATCAGCTAGGGGGACATTTAAAATAACTATTAACAAAAGGTTTAATAATAATAACAGTTACACAAGTTAAATTCTTCTATACAATCTTTATTTTTCTCTAATTTTGCTGAAATTTAACATTTTTAAGCAATACTTGTATTCGAAAAAAAAAATAGTTTTAGTTTTTTACTATGTTAAAATATCGAAACCTAGTTGAAATAATTTATTATACATATGCATCACTCAGCAAAAACAATACTGAACATTATAGGTTGTTGTAGGTAGGAATGATCTCTATTTCTAAGGAAAATTTTATAAATAATTTTAAAAGAATATCTGGTTCATTAATTATAATACATTAAGTAGACTAAATGTAAGATAAATATAGTATGTCCACTAAAACTGCCCTATAATACACTTAATACACGGAAAACAATATAAAATTATTTGTAAACAAGCTGAAATCTGCTGGGTACAACACGATGATACGGCGGCTAATGTTGCGCAATACGGCGGCTAATGTTGCGAAGCAACCTGTTTAATTTATTAATCTTGGGACTATACCAACTAATTTCCAGTTATGTCAGATACCAAACTATGGTTTCACAAAAAGGCAGCTCAGATTTGTGAAAACCGCAAAGTTCTCACAAATCTTTACTAATACGTGAGATATCCCTCATTTACAACCAAATGGGACACATTACATTAAGGTGTGTACCAACAAAGTTTTTAGTTTTTGTGTTTGCAACTTTTCAGGAAATTACCAGCTCAAGCCATAATTAAAAAAATCTGAAATGTTAAGCTGAGTCTCCACTAAAATCGTAAATAAATTTTGGGAACATTGTGTTTATCTTTTGCGGTAAACGTCAAATATTGTTAGCAGATATGGGGACAGACAACAGCATTTTACTGATTTGGATGTCTGTTTTACTTATCGCTTATTTGTTCTGCTTTTGCCATCTGTTAGTGTTTTTGCTATCAGTTCTTTTTATTTCATAATCTTTTATGAAATAGCCAAAACAGTAAAAGAGATAAATATAAAAGGTAAGGCAATAAAAGCTGTAAAATAGACAGCAAAATCAGTAAAATGCTGTTGTTGACATTTAAGCTTCATTCAGAACCTCGCAATTAGTGGAATAAATTAGTGGTTTTAATTAGCGTAGAAGTTTGTTTCTTTAATGTCAATGTAAGCATTCAGAACGTCAAAATTAGCGATAGACATTTTCACTTAGTAGAAAAAGTTATCAAACTTTTAACTTTTTCACTAATTATACTTCAAAATTTGCGAGAAATGTCATTTTAGCTTTTGGTTATCTTCAGTCAAGAGAAATTGGGGTTAGAAATCAAAACTTGATTGTTTTGTAAACTAAATATTATACTTTCTCTATGGATACAACTAACTAGCCCCAGCTGTTGCTAGGATGTTCTATTAATTTTAATTGTGTATTTTAAACATTGCGAATGATCGTAAACTAAAAAGTATAAAGTGTAAGCCCGCGGTTACATTGGATTCGTGTCCGTACGTTTTTTTGGTCGTACGTGCTCGAACGTGCGTGCAGCAAAAAACAAACATTATGGTATCTACGCAGGCGGTTACATTGCACCGGAGTTTGCGCGTCCGTGCACTTACGTCAATTTCCGTTGGTGGGATGAAAACAAACTGGTTTGTTTTTTTAATACGTGCACGGTCCGAGCGTTCGAATTTTTATATTACTGGGCCCAATACATTCCCTAAAAAATTTAATATTTTTGAATACCAGGTTTATTTTTATTTTAGATATATTATGTTGCTGGAAACATTCTAAAATATTCAAAAAATTTGACCAGTTGCTGTTTTAATTCACTAAATATTTTACATATTCATTTTCTTCCCCTTTTCTTGCATATAAATCATATCATCAGGAATTTTCTTCTGTTCATCAGTAGTTATTTTAACATTAAATCCTCAGACAGCATCAAAGTAGTGGCGTCCGTTTTGAAAAACTCGACACACAGGACACCATGAACGCGCATCTAATGTAACCACTAAAATAAAATAGTCGTGTGAGTAAATTCCGTCAGAGCTCGCACGTTTAAAAAAAACGCAATGTAACCGCGGGCTAATTGAAACCACTAATTTATTCCACTAATTGCGAGGTTCTGAATGAAGCTTTAGTCTCTGTGTGTACTCTCGCCTAGTTGAAGACAGTACTTAGATATGTCTGTCATATGGACCAACGAATGATTCTGACTATTAAACACTGTGGTGGAGACAACTAGTTATCAACTAGAACATCCCTAAATTGTTGACATCTTTATTGTCATTTGGTATATTCAACATGAAAACAAAGTTTGGAGACCTTCTGAGAAGTTACGAACTCAAAAATTGTTAACTTTTTCAGTGGACACGCACCTTTTAGTATACATAGCATTTAAACCTTCAAAATTCACCATTCAAATATCATCCCGCCAAATAAAACTAATATTGCTCCCGTTTTGTTTTTCGATTTCAGTGGCGCCGTTGTCCCCGGTCAAGATGGCGCTGTTCCGGAAACAGTCGCTGGAAGAACTGTTCCGGTCCCGGCTCCACAGCACCGGCCAGTGTTTACAGGGCGTTATTAATATCACCGAAAACCCCATTTCGGCAGTGGTGTGTTAAGGTGCGCACGTGCCTCGAGCATGCGCCGACCGGCGCTCGGCTCGCATCGGTAGCGCTGTAGATTAGAAAATTAGAGGAGTCATCTACTCCGATTTAAAAAAAATTAAAAAAGGTTTGTTAAAGATCTACAAGTTTTATTTTAAAAATTTTATGAAAAAAGCTCGTGCACAATCTAAAAAAAGCTGATTAACATTTCTTTGTTGCTTTACTTGAGCGGAGATAGAGTATGATGATTCCTCTTAGTTTATAATCTATAGATAAGTGACTGTATTGAAATTTATGTGATCGAATCGAGAAGGGTATTAGAAACAAAAAGAGGAAAACAAAATGATCTTATTTTGTTTACTCTCGTGTAGGTAGTTTAGTAAATTAATATGAATAAATGTATCCGCATCACATCGGACAGAGTATTTATATAGGGTGCGCATTTTAACGATAAATTTCAATACAGGATGAGTTTTGTTCTTTTCGAATAAACTGCCTAAATAACAGTCGAGCACACATATCTTCCCTGTTTCACAAATAAATGAACCAGTTGCAGATTAAGAATTGTGTTTGTACCGACGCGACGTGACAAAAGAATAATTGGAAATGGTATATCTGGTCAAATATAGAATTATATTTGGCGATTTGGATATCAGCATATTCAAGCAATGAGAATGCATTCAGCGCAATATTGGTACAATATCATTCCAATAACGAGTGAAATTTGACATCTAAATTTTTCTCACAGACTGTATAGAATTCGATTCTCATCATTGGAATCTCGGATATACTAGGTCAGTAATATGAAGTCAAAGTTTTTTACTGATCAAAATGACACTTTAAAGTTTAAAAATTCTTAATATTTCCGAAGGTCTTTGAAGAAAAAAAACGAATATTTGCGATTGCATTTTTATTCTTATGGCCCTATTACAGGAAATATACCAAAATAGTCTCATTCTCATTGCAACTTTTTTTTTCTACATGAAGGTGTTATCAGGTTTTCAAACTGACGTTTCGACTTTAAGCTCTGTCGTTATCAACATTTTTTTAAATACGGCACTATCTATCTTTCGTATGGCAACACAAAACAAACATCACAAACAAAACACATGAGACATGAGACCGATCATCGTACAAGTAAAGTAAAAAGATAAATATGTGTGTAAATAATAATCAGACAGCGTTTAAAATGTACAAACCAAGTAGGTAAGGTCCCAAAACCAATGATGTAAAAATTTATTTTAATGGAAAAAATATAAACAGAAAATATATTTTTGGTAAGATTATTTTACCAGAAAATCATTAAAATTATTTTTTCGAATAAGTGCAATATATCGTTGGTTTTGGTACCTTAGAAGCTTTAAAATTCGCAATGAAAAATGCGGGGTAGTGTTTAAAAACAGAAAGTTTATAATGGCAGGGCTCAAAAATGAAACATCCATCGGTTTGAAAATCTGATAACGCCATCTTGTAGAAGAATAAAGTTAGCAATGAGAATCTAAAGTTTATTTTGTTATATCTATTCAGATAGAGTTATAAAAAATAAAAATGAAATCGAAACGAATATTCGTTTTTTTTTTCCAAAATATTCGGAAGTATTCGAAATTTTTAAACTTCCAATATGGTATTTTTATCAGCATGAAATTGCGTAACTTTGCCTTCATTTAATCGAATTCGTATATCTTCCTAGTTTCCGAGATCCGATTGATAAGTCTCGAATTTGGGACACCCTGTACACGTGCACCACGCCTTTAGCACAAACTAAACCTCTGTCGATGCCCGACTGTCTACATCTATAGAAGAGCGTCGCATCTGAAGATGCTTGTAAAATTAATAGGGTTCTAGTGCATCAATTTTTCTTGATGGGAATGAAAATACTATAGGGTAACAGAGTTCATAGTGAATACATCTTTGGGTGTTGTTAGTATACGTCAGCTATGTCAGCTGTCAATACTTAAAAGGTTTTTTAACTGGTTTGTATTATATAATAATATGAATAATCTGCAACTGCATTTTTTTTGTTAAACAGTTGGAACTTTAAAACCGTATGGTACGTACCCTTTAGGAATCTGCTACTATTTTAAAGTACTATTGGCCTACACATTATAAAACTAACTGGATTATCGAAAAACAAGCACCTAGAATTTGCATTCACTATACAGAAGTTCGGTTTTTATTTACGCCCGATTAAAACAATCAAGTGAGAATCCGTTTTTTTTCAATCGAACAATGTATTTTGTTTATACTTTTATTTATTGTGAAGAAATCAAATTAAGCTTCTTCAGTAGTTTATTAACGTTGAAAAGAAAATTTTACCGATAAAATAAATTAAATATGGCTCTATATAAAGCTACACGTCCTTTCATTTATATTAGGCGTAAATAAAATTCAGAAGTGGGATTTCAAAGATAATAAAGCATAAAATAGAACTCATATTGCATTAATCATTTATCAGTATTACTTAAAATTAACATTGCTATGTATAATTTTCTCATATAATCATACGTGAGTTACTTTATGAAAAATAAAGAGACAGATAAATATAAACTATGCTCAAGTGAAAACAACGTCATAGTAAGCAAAGAAGTAAGCAATCAAAGAAGTCACATATCGTTTCACTGTTCTTACAGTAACTATTGGTGATGAGCTATTTGAAGTCCGTATTAAACTTTAAAACTACAGTATTTGTCTATAAATCATACTAAAGAAACTTTGAGTTACGTGATTAAGCTTGAGCGGCACAGCGATGTGGACTTTTACATATTTTCTTTTAATCAAAATATTTTAAAAAACAAAAACGAATTAATTATAAATATATAAACAGTTCTTATTTACATCAACAAAACTCACCTTAACAGTACTTAAGGGACATATAGGGCCATTACTACCACTTTCCCGTTCAGAATATCTTCATAAGGTTGCGATGTTTAAACCAAAAATTCGTAATACAAAATTAAAATGTCAAAACGAATCAAAATATCAGGAAATAAATAAATAAATGTGGCAAGTTAACATTTTGTTACAGCAGTGCTACCACCTGAATAGCCAGCGGGAAATTTAAATTCCAGCCCGGTGCCGAATATGTCCATGGTTGGCAACAATGAATTTAATAATCGCGCCCTCGATGACGTAACTAAAAGTTCATTTGGTATCGGTTATATAAAGCATTCTTTTATTGAAGACTACATTTTTTATTATACAGGGTGTCCCAGAAATAAGTGCAAATATTTTAACTGGTAGTATAGTTCAACCTCAGAAACACGCCTATGAGGTTTTTTTCGCGAAAAAAAAATTTCAAAATTCGAATTTTTTTGGAATTTTTTTTAGTTTTTAATTAAAAAACATAATTTCTTGATAATATGGCAACATAGGTATTAGATTAAATTTACAAGAAAGAAAATCCAGAAAAGATCCGGTGGTTCTCAAAATTTTAGCAAAAAATCATTTTTTTGGAAATTTTCAAAGTAAAATAACTCCTATATTTTGGACTTATTTAAAAAACGATAAAGAGAAAATGTGTTTCTTTTATCGAGATCTACCACCCCTTAAAATATTTGCACTTATTTCTGTGACACCCTGTATATCAATGTATATGACAATATGACAGTTTCATTTATCAATATTGATTTAAAGTTTCTAAATTACTAATAAAGCATATCTGAACGAATGTCACATTAGTTGGTACTATTTAGGGCCTATTATAACATTAAGACATGGGTACGTACCTCTACTTCTACTACTATTTTTCTCGTATTTAGGGTTGCTTGTAGACTATATAATGTACTCGGTTTCCGTAATTTTTTTAGTGGGGGTGCTTCTTCCAAACGCCCTGTATACATTAATAATACAGCGCGTTCCAAAATATCAACTATCTCGAAAAAATACACTGCAATAAAATCATAATATTTATTTCTCTATGTCGAGATAGTCTCAGAACGCGCTGTGCTTTACAAACACCCTGTGTAACGTCGTAGCCTTTAACTGCTTTTAAACAGAATTACAACTATCAGTGATGATTTTTCGAGATTTCTCGTCATTTTTGGAGATAATTTCGAAGAAATAACACTATATTATTACACTAAGAAACAAAGATTGAAGTTTAACATAGCAAAAATGTTATTAAATATTTTACCCCAGTTTGGCTGTAGGATACGGCTTATTTTTTGTACCTCGGTTTAAGTATTTATTGTTAAGTGCAAATAAAACTGTTTTAAATGTGATTAAAACGAAATATATATGAATATACTTTATGGAATAATAAATATGTAAAAACAAATGGAGTATAAAGTAAACGCGCATTGTGCCTCACTTTGATTATTTAAGTTAAGCACTTATTAATTTTAATAAAATTGTTTGAAAAAATGTTCAATTGTAGTTTTATTTAAGTACCACTTGAAAAAGTCATACGAAAACACAGTGGCGGATACAGATAGGGGGGAGGGGCTATGGGGTTCTGGACCTATGCACCCAAAAGTCTATAAATTGGGTTAAATATTAGGCTTTCGAGTTAAAAATGGCGCTCTAAAAAGCATATTCTACATTACTTTTTCCTTTATCCGCTCCTGATAAAACATCTGTTATTAAAGAGTACAGAAAGGTTTAATGTTTGACCACAAAATATGCCCGCAATTTTTTAAATGCATATATTTTTACACTGAATTTATGTTTTTAAAATATAGCAAAAATTTTGGCCTAACGGATAACGTTTAAAAAAGATCTATTCCAAAAATGAAATCACAATCTGCACTGAATTGGTTTTGAAATACGATAATTTTTAAATCAAAATTTTTGTATATGTAATTGTATGTTCCATAATTATTAGCTTTTTCAAAAATAAGTTTTGCCAGGTAAAGTTTGTCTAAAGAGTGAGGGAAGGTTTCGACAGACGACGTACAAACAGTGACAATATAACAATCTACCTATGACTTAAAATGACAGACAAACTGCCATTTATCCTCAATAGAGATATACATGTCATTATGTCATTGATAGTTGTGTCTGTCATTTTATTTCATACGTAAATTGTATTTTCTGGAGACTTTATACACTATACTGCATGGTATATACAGGGTGGCGCACCTCATTCGCCTCGGTTGATTATACGAAAACGGAAAGATGTAGAAACAAATTTTTTTATGGGTATATGTAGAGAGGTAATGTGCATAATTTAAAATTATTTTCAAATGTACAGGGCGCCACCTTGTATGGAGAGGCAAATATATATATGTTACGGCTAAAATGGATATTTGGCTAATTTTCAAACTAGCCAGCTATTTTGCTATAACAAATAGTAAAACCAACACCACAAACTGACACCTAACCAACAAAATAACAGCGCTTTTTGCAAAATAGCTGGCTAGTTTGAAAACTAGCCAAGTATCCACTTTAGCCGTAACATAATATATATATTTTGTCTACTATTTCGAATGAAAACACTGATATGTATTCACTTTTAATGATTATAAAATCCTATTAGTAAAAGAGTCACCCAGTTGCTAAAATACCTATTATTTATAATGTTTGTTGTTGTAGTATATAATATTATAATGTTAATTTTAGTATATAATATCTATTAAAATTATCGATACCTACAATATAGAAGGGGACTATTATAGGCTTGGTACATTTTCCGCCGGTGCTGCCACCCTCGGAGAGTATCGTAAACAACTAAAAAACAAAATAATAATATAATAAATAATCATATGATCGAAAAAAAAACGGCGTCAGCGATAGCTATGAAATGAAGATTGTCACTTCCCAGCCAACTGTACGCCGTTTTTTTTTCGATCATACGGTATACATTGTGAAAATTCTGAAAATAAAAATAAAAAAATAAATATTTTGATATCTTCAGAAGGTCTAATTTGTATTATAATTTATTATTCCAGCTAAAAAACTTTTTAGATGAGTTCAACTACGGTAGCGAGCATATAGTTTTGCTAGTGGGGTCATAATTGGGGCTATTTCGGCTATAACGAATTTTTTTAAAGGTACATAATTATAATTTTAGAGATATTCATAAAACATTTAATTACTAGTTGATTAAAAGAAGCATACCATTAATATTGCAAATTATATTTTATCCTCTCATAGTACAGGGTGGCGCCTCTCATACGCCGCGGAGGCTCCAAGGAGAACGACAGTTTCTATTGAAATGAAATTTTGTGAGCATATGTAGGTTAATTCAGAGCATTTTTTAAAAATATAGAGAGTTATACAGGGTGTCCCCAAAAAAACTTACATATCAAAGTTGTGTTTTTTGTAATGGAACACCCTATATATTAATTAGTTTTCGGATTCTGGGAGAAAAATAAAGCTGAGTTCTATAAGAGAAGTATATGACTAAAATGTAAGGTTTTTGACATATTTAACATTTTCTAGAAATAAAGAACAATTTTTAAATTAAATAAAAGCTACTTAAATTGGAATTTATCCGGTATAGCCTAATATGTAGTTAAATTAACTATTGTACTTTAAATCAAATTAAAACTTGATCCAAAAAGTTATACAAGGTGAGACAAAATTAATATTAAACATTGGTCACCTTTAAAAGCATGTTACTCTCTTATTTTAAATGGAACACCCAGTATATTATTCCGACATTCAATGGAGAATTCATGTCTCTTCAAAATACTATTAAGGTTGTCTACCCCTCAAACAAAGATTTTCCTAGATATTTTCATTTACATGATTTGATTTGAGTAGATCCTTATTATTTGACAAAATCTAGGTGGCTGTGATATGTCTGACGTTACTTCAACATAGCTGTCTAATTAATCCAACTTTAACAACTAGTTATCATTTTATGTGAGTTATAACACAAAAAAATTTCTCAGAAATTTGCCAAAAATGCAAACTTATCCTACATCAGAGAGAATCGATATGATTCTATGGTTTAGTTTATAGTTACCAATTAATAGAATACTTAAATGCTCCTGATCTTATCTAGTCTGTTTTTTTATGGGGTTATGTTAAAGACAGTGTTTACAAAACTCGACTAACTAGTGTTGACAACATGAGAGAAATTATTGTAGCTGCCTTTCGAGGTAGAACTCCACATATGCGTTTTAAAATGAAAAGATTCTTTTGAAAAGAACAATTATTTTATGCAGTTAACAGGAAAGGAAGCATTTTGAGCATTTGATTTCATCTAGCTAATTTTTGTCGCATTATAGGTTTATATCTAGTTTTAATTCTGTAATAATTAAAATTTGTTTTAAACGTGTATCTTTTTATTACCCTTGAGTATTTTACTCTACAATCTTTAATTTTTGATAAATTAACAAAAGGTATATCACACAGCCACCTAGATTTTTTTTAAATAATAAAGATCTACTGACGCAAAATCATAAAAATTAAAATATCTGGGAAAATCTTTGTCTGAGGGGTAGGCAACCTTAATAATATTTTGAAGATATATAAATTCCCCATTGAACACCGGAAAAATATACTGGGTGTTCTATTTAAAATAAAGGAGTAACTTGCTTTTAAAAGTGACTAATGTTCCATATTAATTTTGTCTCACCCTGTATAACTTTTCGGGTCAAATTTCAATATGGCTTAACATACAATTGTTACTGTAATTAAATATCAGGCTATACAAGGTCAACTAAAATTTAGGTAGCTGTTATCGAAATTTAAAATTTACTCTTCATTTTCACAAAATGTGAAATAGGTCAAAATCCTTAGATTTTAGGTATATGCTTCTTTAATAAAACTCACCTTTATTTTTTTCCTAGAATCCGAAAAGCAATTAATATATAGGGTGTTCCGTTAGAAAAAACACAACTTTGATGTGTAACTTTTTTTGGGGACACCCTGTATAATTCTATATATTTTTATAAAATGCTTTCAGTTAACCTACATATGCTGCCAAAATTTCATTTCTATATAAACTACCGTTCTCCTTGGACCTTCCGCGTATGAGAGGCGCCACCCTGTATAGGGGAGACTGGGGCACGTTCGGCTATGGGGCACAATCAGCCGTCAGTTATAAAAATTTGAATTTTAAAGTTTTCGCGCCGATTTTGTTCTTAAAAGTTGGCAACAAACCCCCGCCAGATAAAATATCCATCTCATGTGTTTAGTTGGAGGTCAAGAGGTTTTTATTCAGAAAACGGAGATTTTGGCAGAAAAAGGTAAGTTTCGCTAATATTCTTATTTATGGCATATTACCTGTTTATATTCATCCCAGTTTTTCCAAAATCGAGTTGTATTAGCTTTGGTATATGTACTTTAACTGTTTATATTAACATAACCTATAATTTATCCCATTTCAGTGCTAAATAAATTTTTATTTTAAAAAACCGGTTGGGGCACTTTCAGCACTGTTAGTGGAGCACCATCGGCCGGTGGCCGAAAGTACCCCACATCCTAAATGTATTGTACAATTTTATAGATGGTTTGCAATTATAAGCCCAAAACAAATAGGGCTAATATAAATGAAGATACAATGCGGCAGGCCTTGAGAGAAGTTTTATCCAAAAACATGTCCCAAAGAGAAGCTGTTCGAGTTTATGGCATTAAAAGGCAAACTTTGCAGTCCCGAATAAAACAGATATTAAGAACTATGACCGTCGAAGAGTATTTGCAAAGAACTGATGATGATAAACAAAAATAAGGGTAACGACAACAAACAACAACAAATAATGAGGTAAACAAAAATAATTACTTCTTCTTTGTTCGCCCTTTAATTAATTTTTTTGATTGCCAGAATGTAATAGGAATTTATTTTCTTATTCTAGGTAAATACGCTACTAGAAAACTTTTTTCGACATCGCGAGAAGAAAAGCTGGTAAATTATTTGAAGCAATGCTCAAATATGAATTATGGCTTAACTTATGAGCAAGTAAGGGTCATGGTTTATGACTACGCAAGAATTCTGCCAAGTTGCAAATACCCAAAAAACTGGAATACCCATAAGAAAGCAGGAGTTGACTGGTTGTATGGTTTTATGAGGCGAAATCGCACGTTGTCGTTACGAAAACCAGAGAGTACAAGTTTGGCAAGAGGATTGGGTTTTAATAGGAACCGAGTAAATGAATTTTTTAATAATTACAAGAACGTGTTAGAAAAACACAAATTTACACCTGAACGAATTTTTAACCTAGATGAGACCGGTGTGATTACGGTATTGAACCCACCAAAGGTCATAGCTACTAAAGGGAAAAAACAAATTGGTCTTATTGCTTCGGCCGAGAGAGGAGAATTAGTAACTGTAGTAGGAATTATCAACGCAACAGGAACTGCACTTCCTCCTGTATACATTTTCCCGAGAGTGAGAAATATAGAAGAGTATCTGGAACGTAGTCCTGCATTAAGTGCCGCTTTTGGAAATAAATCAGGATGGATGGCCGGGGAATTGTTTGTGAAGACACTAGAACATTGTAAAACATACAAAATGCAGCAGAGAAAATAAAATTCTCCTTCTTATGGATAATCACGAATCCCATACAACTTTGGATGTGATACTTTATGCAAGGGAAAATGGAGTAGTTCTTCTTTCATTTCCACCGCATACATCGCATAAACTCCAACCACTCGATATTGGAGTTTTTGGTACGTTTAAAAGCAAATGTTCGGTTTCTTTAAATGAATGGTTGTCAAGTAATCCTGGAAAAACAGTCACCGTTAAACTTATACCAAAACTCACTAAAATCCCATTTTTAGAAGCATTTACACCACGTAACATAACCAGTTCTTTTGAAAAACCAGGAATATGGCCAGTTAACTCCTTAGTTTTTACAGACCAAGATTTCGAAGCCACTTTGGTGTTTAATGACAACGAACCTACAGGAAATCCGTTAGCTGAGAAACAGGATGGAGGAACCGAAAATGACCTTATTAAACGAGAAGATTTTAGAAACCAACCGTCTACCTCTAAAGAAGCCGTGATATTGCCTGTTCTTGATGAAGTCGAAAGTGAGAGTTCTGTAAAAACTAATGCAGGAATCGAAATGTTAATTCCTGAATTGGTTCGACCCCTCCCAAAAGTTTTTAGACCCAAAACTATGCCAAGAAAGCCTAAAGCTAATCAGGGGAAGTCAAGAATTTACACTGAAACACCCGAGAAAAAGAGAATAGAGGAAATAGAAGAAAACAAGAAAACAAAGCAAGAGAATAGAATTGAAAAAGAAAATTGAAAGTTGAAGAGACTTTACACAGATAATGAATCAGTCAAAAATAAAAAAATAAAACAGGTCAAAAAGAAGGTATTTTCAAGCTCTAGTAGTGAATCATCGGGGTCTGGTTTGGACTATGATAGTGAGACAGAGGAAAACCTAAGTTTCGGATCACTACAAGAGAAAGAGAAAATAGAATTAAATAACTTTATTCTAGTAAAATTTTCAGTGAAAAATATCATAAAAACAAGTTTCTTTTAAAAGTGGTTGCATTATTTTAACAGTTTTAACAGAAAACGTCAATGTGCCGAAACTGCCCCAATAACTGGCTGATTGTGCCCCTATAGGGAGCACAATCAGCCAATATGCAGACATATTGTTATAACTAAATATTTTTTTTTGCAACACGTTATAAAACATTAGTCATGTAAAATAGCTGTGTAAAGAATGTGTCAATTGTCAGTGATTCTTTATTAGAACCTAAAATCGTCTGGAACATTTTTGTAGTAAAAAATCGATTATAAGGCCGAATGTGCCCCAGTCTCCCCTATGTCTATTTAATTTTTTTATTATGTCACGAGCACTTTTTACTCACTTATTTCGTCGAACTGCTTGAATCCATTTTTGCTTTTGTGATGAATCTGAGTGTCTTAAATCGGTGTGAGAAGCTATGAAGCTATAAAATGTTGTTTTGGGAGAGTTAAATATCCGAGAAAGTTGAGTTATTGAATGTTATTGCACCCAAGAACGTCCTAATTACGCTCTCCTTTACGCCTTAACATTTTTTTGGAAATCTTATTAACATTTGAAATTGTTTTTGTACAACACGACGCCGGCGCCGACATCTAGTTCGGATTCCTTTTCACTTATTTTTTACTACCCGAAACAGCGTTATATCACACAAAGTTCGTACCTGAGTATTTTATAGTTTCAATAACTACACTAGCAAAAGCTTAAACCTAAAATACTTAAATATTATGACAAAGCCCGGATTTCAATATTATTTTAATGCTATGAATTGTAACTGCGACGGCTTGAGATTACATACCGAAAATGACTGGTTTCTGCCGTATAGGTACAGCGCTGCAGTCGGAATTTTTTGAAATCAACTGAAATGCACCAAGCCTATAAGTGTACAAGCGATATCCCACTATAAGAATAGCTCTCGGCTGTATCGGAAAGTATTTAGCTCTAGAACTTGGCGGAAAAAAAAATTATAACTAAAGTGGACATGAGAAATTGCTGGAACAAGTTTGTAGAATGGCCGCTGATGGAGGGCGCAACTATGGCAAATAAGAAAATAGAATTTTTACAAAATTCTTTTACAGAATTTCTTCAATCAACGGTATTATACAGGATGCTACAAATTCGAGGTACGGGCATTGCATGGTTCTTGGTAACCGTAATAGATACGAAGATGGTTAAATTGGGGCTATTGGGTTAAGTTGCACTTTAGGATGTCCATTAAAAAAGTTTTAAAAATTTCAAGGATTGCTGAGTTAAAAAAAAATATTTTTTTGAATATCAATTTTATCTTTTCCTGTCGTTACTTTTTAGAAAATCAAAAAACTAATTGCACATTCTCATAGCCAGTTTATTAGAGCTATCTGGTGGTATTTTTACATTTTCAAATTAACTGATAATTTGTGAGATACAGAGGCCAACTTAATTTTTTTAAATACGGACCTTAATTGTTTATTTCAGGCTTTGAAAGAACTTGGTCTCCTGAGTACAATGATATGCCACATCTGCTACTTTTTTTTTGTTTTGGGTACCTTAACAATAACAAAACTATTTAATTGTTATTTAAAACAATTTCAAATTCCGCTTTGGTTTTTTAATTTATAATCTGATTATATTCATCACAATAATATTGATCAGCGCTAATTAACATTGAATAAGGAAAATCAATAAAAATTGTTTTGGACATTTTAAATCAATACATTTCAACATTAAGAGTACAAAAACAATTAACGAGTAATAAAAAACAATTAAAGAGTACAAAATGCATTCGGAAGTATAAGAAGAAGATCTGTTCAAAGAGCTATAAATAAGATTGAAAGAAAAACAAATGTGTGCATTATGGAGGGTGGCAACCCTTTCGAACATGCAGAGCATTAGAAACTAGTTTGTAGAAGTTGATTTATTTATAATAACTACGATTAATATTATGCATATTATTAGAACGTATACTGAGATTTCAAATTCACAATAAAAAAAATTAAAAATAATAGATATCTTTAAATTGCTGACCGGCATAATTTGAGTTTTTCAAATTGGCGTGATTTTTCTTATTCAATGTTAATTAGTTCTAATCACTATTGTTGTGCTGAATATAATCAGATTAAATAAATTAAAAAACCAGAGTCGGACTTCAAATTGTTTTAAATAACAGTTAAACAGTTTTGTTACTGTTAAGTTGCCCAAAACATAACAAAAGTATAGGAGTTCTTTGAAAAAAAACATTTTTACCTGAAATAAAACGTGCAGGTCAAAATACCATCAGATAATCCTAATAAAGTGGTTATGAGAATGTGCAATTAATTTTTTAATGGGTAGGGGAAGGCGGGGCAGAACGGGGTCACCCCAATATTAACCAAAAAAAAAATATTTTTGCATCGTTGTATTTCTAAATATTGTAAATTAAGCCTCTCGCCTTTTTTAACAGTTAAACAAATATTTTAAAGAAAATTATTATGAGAAACCAAAAAGGTGCATTTTGTCCCATTCCGCCCCAGGGGCGGGGCAGGATGAGGTTTTTATATATTTTACCAGAACTCATTAATATGTGGTAAGATTTCCTCTGAAATATAGCGTTAATGGTGAAAAATGGTAGTAATATTAAGTACACACAATTTTATCATAATTTTTTATATTAAAATAGGTAAAACCATTAGACACAATCAGACAAAAATCCACTTAGGATTGGCACTGTTCACAAACAAGCACAAATTCGTCGTCTTCGCTATCAACGCCGGCACAGGCATTGTGTGCCCATTTGTGACACGCTGAACAGGCAATCCATCCTTCAACAGACTTGGACCAGTATTCACAACAGCAAAGACATTCTACGTCACTAGTTTCATCTGAAGATGAAGCCCTAGAAATTTAATGACGCCGTTTTTATTATGGTTTTCGAGATTTCTAGCCAGAAAATGCTTGCGATGCAGAATATCTCTGGTGACATTGCGTTGGCATTCATATTCAGATGAGTTATACAAGCTAAGATTTCTGATTCGACTAATAAAAGCTCTAAAGCTATACAAAGCTTGTTTTGATGCCTTAAAAAGCGTAATGGGTGTATTTTTAATTCAACTAAATAACTATAGGATTCAGTTTTCTTTCAAACTTTCAAACAAAAAATGGATATGCTATTTTCGCTCCAAGTCAATTAAATGACGTATTGAAAAAGCCAATTGAAGCGCGATTTGACAAAGATTAAAAAAAATCAACCGATATTACGGATATAAATTTCACAAGAGGCGAATCATAATGAGTCAGAATCTACCTTTTTAATCGACACTTTCTTTGAAGGGTTTCGCTTAACTTTCTTAATGCTACTTGCTTTACTCTTATTTTCTTTGCCAATAATTTTTCTTTTAACGCCTTCTTTCTTCTTTTGCGAAACATTTTTTGCAGCTGCTGCTGCCTCAGTTCTTCCTTATACGGAGTTGAGGTCAATATTGCAGTTTTACCTCTCTTGCGATTAGCTCTCTTAACTGTTTGCTGGATTTTTGGAATAGGTAAAGCAACTTCTGGCGACAAGCAGGGAAAAGAAGATTTTTTGTTGACACCGGAGGCAGCAAATTCGTTTGGCGTTTTCCATAAAGAGCAACCTGGTAGGGGATTTAAAATGTCACTTGCTGATACAGTTAGAGGAGATTTAGTTGATTTTCTTAGATTAGATATTTTTGTAGCGGGAGGTGTTATTGAAATTGAAGGTTCCGTTGGCGTATGAGCTCTTGGTGAGTAGAAGGATCATTGGCTGATGGAGGGGTATTGTTTGTAATATCCGTGGTAGCAGCTGGTAAAAAATCAACTTCGGTAAAAACGTTTTCATCGGGTGGAAAAATACCAGTTTTGCGAAATCCGTTTATCGCCGTTTTCATGGTGGCTGCGTTTAAAAAGGCACTACCAAAAAGCGTGGAAATTTGAAGTATGGTTATTACCTTTCCTGGATTGCAACGCAGCCATGTCCGAGTTTCATGTTCATAAAATGTACTTAACGGCTTCATGAAGGAAACGTCCAACGGTTGCAGTCTATGACTTGTGTGTGGTGGAAAGCATAATAATATTACACCGTTCTCACGTGCAGGCGAAATTAGGTTAATATTTTTGGTATGGGTTGCATGTCCATCTAACAAAAGAAACACTGGATTTTCTTTTGTTGCTTTAGAAAACGTAACAAATAGCTTAAACCAATTTAAAAAAAGTTCAGAGGTTATCCATCCAGAATCACTAACTTCTACTACTGAACCAGGTGGCAAGCCTAACTCAAATGACTGTTGCTTCCGTTTTCTTGGAAAAATAAGCATAGGTGGCATATATGCTCCAGCAGCAGAAAAACAGATTTCAGCAGTTATGGTTTTTCCTCGTTCGGCGGAAGTTAGGGTGCCAACCTGACGCTTTCCTTTCAAGGCTAAGATTTTGGTATGGCCCTTTGGATTCACAGTCAACCCCGTTTCGTCACAGTTATAAATGCGTTCACCAACTAGCTTATATTTGTCTACTGTTTCCAAAAGAAGGTGGAAAAATTGTGCTACCGCAACCTTATTAAATCCCATAGCTAGAGCTCCAGAAGTTGATTCTGGTTTTCGCAGCGTCAAAGTAGGGTGGCGTTTTAAAAAACATTGCATCCAATCCTTGCCAGCCATTTCAGATGCAGCATTAAATTTATGTTGACACTGATTTCGTATAGCTAATTGAAAAGCCAGACGTCTAAAGTCAATCATGGTTAAGCCAAAAAGTCTTTTTTTGAATTTAAATAGATTAAATAATTTTAAATAGTCGACGAGTTCTATCTCCTGTTCTTGTGAAAAAACGCTGCGAAATTTTCCAACAGATTTATCAACAACAAAGTTTTGTTGATCCTTTCTTTTTTTCGCGACATATCTTTCTAAAGTTGTTTGGGGTACACCATGTTGTTCTGCGGCCCTCCTATACCCCATTTGTCCACTAGCAACGACATCAACTGCTGCGTTCATGGATTCGGTACTCCATTCCAGACTCTTTGTCTACCGAACATAATTTCTAACCATCTGAAAAAATATTAAATTAAGTACGACATTTAACGGGGCAGAACAGGGTACCCCATTGTACCCCACCCCATTCTGCCCCATGTGCAACGTTTACTTTAAAGTAAAATTTTTGAAAGAAACACATGACCTAGAGTAAAGCTAAAGTGATAAAAAAGTTGCTAAACAATCGTTCTCTGCATTACATAACTGAAATAGATTGAAATTTAATAAGCAAATTACTTACGGTGGTTAATATGGACGCCAAAGTTACAAATCTACACGAAAATTCCAGATGATAACGAGACTAACCTCTTGCTCGATGGTTTTTGGACTACTGGCGTACCTACCATGCGACCGATGCTTTTAGGCGACCTTCAGTGCAATTTCGGATATTTTCGTTTATACGTTCGGTTTTTTAATGGCGTACCCCGTTCTACCCCACCTTCCCCTAACGACAGGAAAAAATAAAATCGATTTTCAAAAAATCCGTTTTTTCCAAAAAACTCAGCAATCCTTGAAATTTTTAAAACTTTTTTGATGGCAACTTGTGAACATGCCAGATGCCAAAAAGCAACTTTGCCCCAATTTAACTATGTTCGTATCTATTACGATTTCCGCGATACCAATGCTCGTAGCTCGAATGTGTAGCATTAGGTAGGGTCTCGGTTCAGTATAAAATTTCAGGTCGTCTGATTTAATTGAATAACCTAAACCTAAAATACTTAAATATTATGACAAAGCCCCGATTTCAATATTATTTTAACGCGATCAGCATGAACTGTAACTGCGACGGCTTGAGATACATGAGTTTTGAGATACCAATGCTCGTACCTCGAATTTGTAGCACCCTGGATAGTGGTTGTAGGTAAAAATATTAATTATGAAATTTTCAAAAATTGTACAAGCTAATGGCTATAGGCTTCTACGATTTTTGATTTGCAAAAAAAACACCCACCATATTTTGCTCTTCTTTTTGCTTCTCTTTAGGGTCTCGTATACAATTTCGGGTCGTCCGATTTAATTGAATAGGGGCCCGACGCTCGGAATTCGTCTCTCTGTTTGTGTCCTCCTCCTCCTACGCAGGTCGCTCAGCGGGCTGCCGGCCATCCTTCACCCCAGACTCGATGCCCCTAAACCGAACATACATCACACAAAGGCGCATTTTTCCTCGATGTATTGTAAAAAAAGAACACATTAAGTCACCTGTCAGGTCCATTCACAGAAGCCCCAGCTTGCGGACCGGCGTTGCCAGGTTGTTCTTGCGTAAGATACCTGAAAGAGAACGATTTTAATCAATTGATATACTCCAGGCTAGAGTCAACAAGATAGAAATGGTATATTTTACTACTAAAACAAGACACTCAAACTAATGAGTGAAAGGTTGAGCGAATCCATAATAAGCTGACAGTTCATTATGGGTGTAATACAGGGTGTTTCTTAATGACATGCTAATATTTAAGGAGGTGATTCTTAAAGTTGTTCAAGGGAACATAGTCTTAGAGGATGGAAGCGTGATAAAAAACTGTGACAAATATAAATATTCAGGATTAAAAATAACTAACGATGGAAAACTCGATGAGGGTATAAAAGATCGAATAATATACAAGGCAGGAGGGCAATATCTATGTTGAATGGTGTACTGTGGGACCAGAAAAACATATATAATACGGTAGTGAAAAGCATAATAACTTACGAAAGCGAAGTATGGCAGTTGAAAAGCAGAACAGAGAACATTCTATTAGCGACCGAAATGGATTACTGGAGGAGATCTGCTGGAAAATCGAAAAGAGAACAAATAACCAACAGACAGAGTAAGAGAGATTATGGGAGCTGAACACACAATTGTGGATGATATAAGAACAAAACAACTCATATGGTTTGGTCATGTTCAGCGAATGCCCGATCACAGAATACCAAAACAAATTTTACTGTGGACACCTCGAGGCAGAAATAAAAGAGGAAGGCCGCGACGAAGCTCGGAGGGTATGAATAAAGAACTAGAAAATAGAGAAATAGCTGATGATCTCTGGCTAAATAGAGAAGAGTGGAGGTTAGGTATCGGAAAACGTCGTAGAACGTTCTGAACCGACTTATATATATATGCAGGGTGGCCCATCGAAAACGTTCCTCAAGGCATAACGGCCAGGGTAATTTTTTTTTCAGAAAATTCAAAAACATGTCAATTTTGTTTGTGAGGACGACAACTTTTGCCCCAAAAATGATAGAAAAATCTTCAACCCTCTAAACGGGGGTGTCATCCCCCAATTTTTTTCAAATGGGAGGGGGGTCAAGTGGAGCAGCAATAAAAAGGGCGTTCTATTCTGTATACTTTCCCGCTTCGTTTTTGAAAATCGGTCGAGTCATTGAGAAAATATGAAGGATTGAAATTTGAAAAGTTTCTTTAAACATTTATCAGAGTAAATGATAAAAGGATAAATTCCTTCCACCAATTTGCAGTTTTTCTTATTATTTCTAGATGTTTACGCATTTTTTCACTTGCCACATAGTTGCTAGATAGCTGTTCTGTGACTTAGGCGTTATTTAATGTGTGTTTTTCGGATGAGTGTACTTTCTTTTTGAACGGTGTAGTTAATCGGCACAACTGTCGGTACTGGGCTGAGGACAACCCCAGGGTTTTTCACGAGGTGCACACACAAAATCCTCAGAAATTGAATGTGTGGGCTGGTATTTTTAGAAATTCTATTGTGGGCCCTTTCTTTCTCCCTGGAAATCTAACAGGTGATATGTACTTGGATTTACTGGAAAATACCATCGACCCAGCCCCTAACTGACATCATAGAGAACAATCCTGGATACGTTGAAGCGGAACAAATATTTCAACAAGACGGTGCACCTCCACATTACTCTCAAAATGTGCGTAATTATTTAAACAATAACTTTTCCGGTCGGTGAATAGGACGAAGGGGTGTAATTGAGTGGTCTCCCCGGTCACCTGACTTGACTCGTTTAGACTATTTTTAAAGGGGACACAAAAAAAGTAAAGTGTATAGCACTCCACCCGCCTCATTAGAAGACCTGCGAAGACGAATTATTGATGTTTGTCGCGTAGTGACCCCGCAAGTTCTTCAGAATGTTCGAGAACGGTTTGAAAATAATTTGCATTACTGTATGGAGGTTGATGGGCAACATTTCCAGCATTTGCTTCATTAATAATGTAAGTTTTTTTTTAATTAATTCAATTTATTCGTTTTTTGCAAAAAATACTTTTCATTCTCTTCTTTTCAATCTTCCATACTTTCAAAATGACTCGACCGATTTTTAAAAACGAAGTGGGGAAATATAGAGAATAGAAAGCCCTTTTCATTGAGACGCCACTTGACCCCCCTTCCCATTTGAAAAAAGGGGGATGACACCCCCGCTTAGAACGTTGAAGATTTTGCAATCATTTTTGGGGCAAAAGTTGTCCCCTTCACAAACAAAATTGACGTGATTTTGGATTTTTTGAAAAAAAAAATACCTTGGCTGTTATGCCTTGCGGAACGTTTTCGATGGGCCACCCTGTACACAGATTTCTTAATACAGAAAATGTGTCTTAAGATAAATTTTTGGTCTAAAACACATCTTTATTACGACTTAATCTTTACCTATAAACCTCTAAACACAATAATAATCGGTAAAAAAAGTATAAAAGTTAAAATCAGTATCTCCGCAACCCTCAACAGCTAGAATTCTACATCAAAAACTGCAAACTGTTGTTCCCTCTTTCAAAAATTAAAAAATAACGATTTGCTAGCCTCCTTATAAAATCACTGTTAAAAAAAACTCTGCGAGAAATATCTCAGCCCTCAGCGATTCTAAATTTCTTCTTCGTCGTCTCTTCATGTCTGAAGAATCGTGACTTTATGGCTATGTGCAGCTGGTGAATTTGGTCTTCCATCGTTGGCGATCTTCCGCCTCTCGGAGATTTGATTGAAATGGATGACCTGTAATATTTGCTATTTGGTCAAGCCATCTTGATGGTGATCCTCCTCTGGGTCTTCGGCCTTTTACTTTGCCTTGTACAATGAGTTTTTCAAGGTTGTCTTCACCTCTGCGAGTGATATGATCGAAGTATTGCAGGATGCGTCTATTCTAAATTTATATAGCGAGTTTTCGCTGTAACTGAACTATTATTTTTTGGAAGTAACAACTGGCGATCTTGACTTAACATCTTGAGCTATCGATATAAGAGCACTGTTATTGTTATTTTTGAAAGTAACAACTGCTGTTACAAACTTGGTGAAATCTTGTGTTCCGTTTTTTTTTCGTAACCAAAATGATCTCAATATCATATCAGGAGCCATCATTTTTAGCGCACTGTTCTTTTTTTTGAAAATAACAACTGTTCTGAACTGTTATATCTGAAAAAATAACAGTTGTAAAATAACAAATCGTTAAAGACTAATCCGTCTTTAGTTAACCTACATATATTAACTTTTTGAAAAATGTTGAACCTTGACATAGATATAGATACTTTAACCAAAATTGCCTTATTAGGTGTCGCCGATTGTCATTCCCCATAGTCGTCTATGTAATAACTTGTTATCGGTTTGTATAGTGGTTAACTTTTGATGAAAGATTTTTGTAAGAAACTAGCAATAATAGGTTTTCTTAAACTCTCCGATACCCATTAAAAGCTGACAACGCCGCTGTCTTACCTGTTGCTTCGCTAAGTTACCTGCGATCGCCATCGGCTTTCTTCGCCCATCCTCGTCTCCCGCCGCCGGTTCAAAGCCAACTCGAAACTCTCGGTGTCCGTAAATAAAATAAACTTTTCCCGTCGTGATTACCGTTCGGTGTGAGCGCGCCGTCAACTGGATTTTCGAAATCGCGTCGCTTGCGCGCTGGTTTTGGAGATTTCAACGATAAGGTGATAAAGAAAATCGGCGGAAAATTGTGCGATTCGCGGAAAGTGCGCGTGGAAAACGATGAATTTTCTGTTTTTGTGAGATAGATAATAAAAGGCC